TATGTTAAGCTGTTGGCCGAGACGTGGGGAGGACTAGAAGTGTCTAGAGAATTAAGAGTCTGTTAGCGTTTTCATGGTTCGCCATGGTTAACGTGCTTTGATGCAGTTCCAGCAAGAGAGTGGTCGTCTTCATGAAATCATTGGAATTTGCAAGGACTTGGACCCTTCCAGGGCTACTTAAGAGCAATCGACAGTATGTACGATACAGATCACTTCTTTACATTCCTTGTTTTGAAAGCCCTCTCACTTATTGCTTTTCCTTTATTTTTCGTAGCACTTCCCACACCATGTCCTTTTCCTTGCTTTCCAAGTGTGCCACCACCACTTCGTGCCTTTCTCTCTCTCCCGCGTTCTTTACCCTGTACTTTGACTTTAGCTGCACCTGCACCTGCACCGACAGCCATAGCCATCCTCGATTTTTTCTTCGCCAACCTCCGCGCTAAACGATCCGCATCAGCTGCTTTAGCACTCTTTCTTTCCTCTTTGGAAAGATGTGCAAGTTTGGAGCCTAGGTTCGGGTCACCCTTCGGGACCGATAGCGAGGTCGACATTGTCGGGGTGGATCGATTGGCCTTGGAAGCAGGAATGTTTGGGCGGGAGGATGTTGAAGAGGCCGACTTGACTTTAACTTTGAACGACCCTCCTGGGATTGTTTTACACCTCTCGACCCTCAGCTTGCGTTTTGCAAACTTGAGCTTGCCAGGCTCGAGGGCAGCGGCAATAATTTGATCCACGCAGTCGCGTTCTGCGAATTGAACATAACCAAAGCCTTTACCAAGCTGGGTGTCTTTGTCGCGAATGATTCGAACACGGGTCACCCAGCCTTCTGAGCGACCTCGTCCTTTTGAGGCTATCTGCTTTGCGTCATTGCCTTTATCGCCGTCACTAACGCTATCACTGTCCTGTTCCTCATCATCTTCATTCACACGACCAACTCTAGGTCCTTTTTCTGCACTGAGGACTCCCTCAAAGTACGCTCTCACATCCTCCTCTTTACTCTCGAAATCCAGATTCCCGACGAATATGCATCGCTTGGGATCTACATCGCTACCTGTTCTGAGCACCCTTCCCTGAGCCTCTACCAAATCCGAATCCGCAGTCTGAGCAACGACGTCAACCCTCAAAGTCCGCTCCATGAATTCTGACCCGTCGCACGCCTCTTTGGCCAGACGAGCGGCTTCATAAGGATTCATCACATCCGGTAGCGGAGGTAGGTTCGATTTACGCTTCGGAACCTCGTCAGACGTAGGAATAGGATGAGCGAAGAGAATATAAGCGTTGATGCTGGATCCAGAAGCGTGTATATCCTGATTGATGAACGCGATCTTTTTCTTTTGCGCCGGGGTAAGAAATTTTTTCTCGCTTTTGGCTGAATCTTCCTCTTCTCTCTCGCCGGGTCCGGAAGATTTCTTCCAGGACTTGGTACGGTCGATATCATGCTGACGAGCTTTCGAGGATGATTTGGATTTGTCCTTTTTGGTCGAAGCTTCGTCCTCGTCCTTTTCGAGTGTAGAAGTAGGCATAGCAAACGGGACAGAACGAAATCGGGTTGATTCAATTTTGGGCTTTATGTTGGAGGAATCGGAGGATGAAGGGATAAGGCCAAGGATATGTCGTTGCAGGGATTTGAGTAGTGACTAGGTCGAATTTCGGATAAGGACAAATAAGGATCAAATGAAAGGGAGTATGTATATGCAATACCTTCTTCTGAGAAACCTCGACGCTGAGATTACCAACAAAGATTGTTCGTGCGTTTCGTTGCTCGAGCGTCTCGTCAGGAGGAGCATATTTACTAATGGCCTTTGGCAATTTTTTCGGATGCCGGTTCCTTGAAAGAGTCTCGTGCTGAGGAGGCTGGTGGTCTTCCTCGTCCTCCTCGTTACTAGAGGCATCCTCAACATCGTCTCCTTTTGTAACATCCAGTTCCTCTTTGCTTTCATCTTCATTGTCTGATGTGAAAGTCTTTCTTTTACTGTTCCCTCTAGCCAATCTCGAAAGATACGCATTCTCTAGCTCGGAGTCGTCACCGTCGGATTCGCTCTCTGGTCCCTCATTATGACCCTTTCTTGCGCCGGACTTTGATACTTGCGTTGGGTTCTTGTTCAGCTTTGTTTTTCGTTCCGAAGGACTCTGCTTCGAAGTTTTCAGCGAATCACTGGGCTCTGTCAATTTGGTTTTTTTACTCGTGGAAGTTGGAGATACTGAAGGAGTGTTCTGATGTTTTCTTTTGAGCTTGCCGGAGCTCAGATTGGGCAAGGGATTCTAATCATTGCTCAGTGAAATGTTAAAAGGGGGATGAATTGAGTACTTACAGGTCCAGCAGACGCATTTTTGAATAAAGAATCAAGTTCAGTATCAACAACGGTTTTTTTGGTCCCAGATGTAAGTAGGAAAGAAGAAAGGGCCATAGTTGTTGATTACAATAGTCGGCACACAACTTGACGAGGTCTGAATACGGCTTAGATTCAACATGGGCTTTAGACCTGCCATTAGCAAGTCCCTGTCGATTAGTGGTTAAATCATCGTGTTGTGGTTGTCTCCAAACATAGCATATCCGCGAAGCCGGGAGCTCGAATCTCCCCAGGGACATTTTTTGTTGAAGGTTATTTTTTCTTTGTTACCACCACATGAATTGTTGACCCCTCCACGTACAGTGTCGAACCAATCATAGAACACTGTCATGCATGAATTCGTTGATTTACAGTTCCACTGACAAAGTATAAAATCATGGTATCCGTGAGGTGAGATAGTGAAAATGAGCTGATGAGCAACATGATGCCGGAGGGATACAATACAAGTACACCATAGTTTACACAAGGGAGCAGATCTTATCGAAAACATGTCAAAATGTTCAGCTTGAAATATCAAAAGTCAATCTAGGCCAAAGCCGCCGCCGCAAGCGATAATAATCGGAGGCCCTTGGCCTTTGAGTACATCTCCGCAAGAATGTTAGTCGCAAAAGCATCGTCGATCACAGGCACCGCGAAAGCCACTGAGGATTCGGATTCTCGGCTTGCTGAGCTCTTGTCAGTGCAATTGACGGATGCTTCATTCATGTCTACATCCATGTTCACAACATTGTCCATGTCTGAACGCTACAAATGAAATCTCCTGTTAGCCTAATGCAATAAATCCGAGGGCAAGGGAGCCATACTTTCAACGGAACATCACCGTGTCTCTTACCCCGATGTTTATACCATAACGTCCCGTAAAACTGTCTCCTGCTGTCGATCTGGATATACTTGCTGCACGGGAGACACCATACTTTATCAGGACACATTCGACTCGCGTCCAACAGAGGATCATCCGCCAACTCGGCCTTGCGCTCAAGCATGCGACGTTCCTCAGCCTCGAGCTGCTCATGGGATTTGACCTTCTGCTTCTTAGGCCGTTGTTGGTTCTGCAAATGAGGTTGCTCATAGTCCGAATCATCGTCTGAAATGTGTCCTCGGCGACCGACAGCAGCGTGATTGGTCTTCTTTTTCTGATCACGGAGGAGGATGGGGATGTTAGCGTTACGGGCGCGGATGAGGACGTGTTCGGGAGCGTATTTAAGAGTACGCTTCAACCTCGACGGAGCAGGAGCGAACTCTGGGAAAGCGTAACGCGTCATGCCCCGTCGCTCACGCGTAAAAGACGACGACGACGAGTTGGTGGACGTAGATATAGCGCTGGTACTGCTATCCAAAGAATCGTCACTGCTGGAAGTGGTGCTGGGACTGAGAGCGCGCATACGGTACAAAGGGGGGTTTATTGGCAATAAAAGTCATGTTCCTGTTAGTTTTGTTGATTGGTTGACGTCAGTATGGGACCACCGACCTAGGAGACCAACGCGACGAAGAAGGCGACAGTTCATGCGACATCTCGTTGTACCTCGTTGGACCTTGAACCGAGGGAGATTTCTCCTTTGGAGAGGGGAAAGATGGAAGTGTGGATGTAGATCAGCGCAGCTACGTCCACGCCTTTTAACGTCCTGATGATGCGGAGGCAATTTTACTTACCCCACCTTCAGAGGCCATTGTTTGTTTATTTTGCAATTCTTCTGTCACTTTCGATTACTTTGATAGCCTGCTTGGTTCACCCACTAGCACTAGTAAAATGTGACTGCTTTCAGTCTCAGATTGGTATTATACATTGACAATATTGATATCTTCGAAAACAAAAGAGGTCGGTTAATAGGAAACAAGATCAACGGAACGACTGACATTTGAGGAAGAAATGCCTGTATACGTCGAGCTTGAGCTTTACATTGACTGCTGAACTGATAATGTAACACTGAGAATCATTTTCTTCTGCTCTACCACAGCGATAGCGATACATTGTCGAGACAAAATAAATGCGCATATCCGTATCATGTGTCTCACTCTGAGTTTTTTTGTTGTGCCTTGTGATCGCGACAGAGCCGCGGGAGGAAGTACGGATGAGGACAATGGCCTACAATGGTCTATCAGCTGGACGAAGAATAGTATAATGACGTTCTTCCAAGGAATTACCAGAGCCCTGATCAGATATGGCCGCCTGTTGGGCTAGAATGAGCTTCACGGTTCATCTTGAGTGCAGTGATACATCTCTGGAGAACAAGAAAAAACACAGTTAAACTTGATATTGGATTCATGAAATTCTCGAGCATTCCGGCCAACAAGTTGACAACAAGATTTTGTGGTGGTGCGCCGAACTCATCGATTGGAGTTGCACTCGGAGTCACAGTGGTTCCTAGTCTCCGAAAAAACCGAGCAGATCGAACAGGTACGGATGCCTAGAATTGTAGGGAATTCCATGTTTATGGAAAGGAGCTTGACTTTATGCGAACGACCAGTATTACAGTTTTGGAATTTTCCTATTCCAGTGTGGTAGAGCTAGACCGTTCTGATTCTAAGTAATTCTGGTGTGGGAGTTCCGCCGATTGGGCAGGATAGTCACATGATCGTGTTGACAGTTCCTTAGTCCGGTCCGCGGTGCCATCCATCCGAAATCATTTGAATAAAGTTAAAACAAGAAGATGATTCGACCCAGGCTCGAACTGGGGACCTTCTGTGGAACCACTGATTATGACTTTTCATGTTAGACAGATGCGATAACCAACTACGCCACCGAACCACGAGAGTGTACTGCTACTTAGGGCTGCTGCTTGTATTCTTCAACTGTATGCTTATGTACCATCGAGAGTTAGATTTTCAGCATTACAGTAAATCACGTTTTATCTCTTTGAATTTCTTCGACTACAATTACATCCTTATCCAATGTTCGAAATTGACCGGTACACCTTGCACTATATATCTAAGCCCTGATCACGCACACACAAACCTTTGCATGGCCGTGCTGATGTTCATAAAATGTTGTCAACGAATAAAAAACGGCTTTTGACAGCAGGATTTACAAGTGGTGGAAGGTCAAATATAAGTACAAAGAGACCCACTGCTGTATCCGTACCGAGTCATCAATCGAGTCCATGTATGGGGGCATTGAGATTCCGAGATGCCAGTATTTCAGCGGCCTAGTGAACATGCCCTGCAGTATGAAAGTAGACAAATTCCAGGTACGGTTTTACGATGGACTAAGGATGAGAAAGCTAAAATTCTTGAAAGCGAGCTGTAAAAAAGAGACAGATAAGAAACATGGAGTTGGGCCTCGAGCATGACTAGCTTTATAGGGATATACAGGAAAATGTAAAAGTACTAAAAGGTCCAAGATGCAGAGTAAAGAAACACAATGTTCACCAGGGTATAACAGACACAGTCCAAACTCTGTAGTCGTATTAGAAATAAGCATTAGTTCAATGATGATCAAGCATTCTCAATCCCTTCTGCACACAGTCCACATCCAATACATTCAAGGCATGCTAGAACCAGGCATCAATTATTCGAGGAATATATGATGAAACGGGAAATAATACGCACCTAGACCTCCACAACAGGCGCACAAGTAGCATGGACAGCAAAGTGGATTCTCGAATGAACCTAATAACGATGAATTTTTGAGTATGCTATATGAGAATTATGTTCATTAACGTACCTCGACAACACCATGCACTCAGGCAGATGGCAAGTATCACCACCAAGAATAGACCAACAAAGACGATGATGAGGTATACTGTTTTAGGAAAAGCAAAAATGGTAAGAAACGACAGTTCCGAATGTGTGTAACGAGTGAACTTGCATTTATTATTTACAAAAGTCCCATTGCTACCTGTGGCGCGTTTCAAAAGCGCTCCAGTGTCTTCAGCTCCTATGAAACCGTGCAATGCGCATGAAAGCGCTAGTAGACCGCCTAACGAGACAAGAGCAATAACGATCGGTAAAATGGCACGTCGTAAGCGCGAAGCGTGACATCTTTGAGTGTCCGTGCATTGGTGAGGCGATGAACAGTCGTTCATTTGATCAAGTTGAGAGTGATTGTGTAGCTTGGTATAAGGAGGTGGAAGTTGTAAAGAGGGGGACTTCTCGGATGGAAGGTGAAAATCTCGATAGAGGTCCATAGTATTAACAGCAACGGGCTCGTTGATTATTGATGATTTTGAAGGCATGGCGAAACCGAGGCGAAGAAGATGAAAGAAAGGAGATGGAAGATCCTTCGCAGCGCACCAAGCTTTATAGAGAAGACCGTGAGATTCAGAACACGCTACAAAATTGTGGCTAGTGCCAGTGCCGTCGTTATAGAGGCGATGGTTCGGAGTGACTGCGCGATACCATATCCAAAGTATTGACCCTCACGCACAGCCTCTGATCGTCTTGGCTTTAACCTCTTCCACGTGGCTTTTCACGCTTTTAGCGTTGCCAACTTGCAACTGCGCAGTGACTGTCGAGCAGAGCCCACTTAAAATTTATTATAATTGAGTTCGCAGCTCAAAAAATGCTATGTTTTACAGCTTTCATTTCCCTTTTTGCGTCTGCCAAGCTTTATTTTCGCGGCCGAGAGACCTTATTAGCTCCCATTACTTAGCTCTTGATCAAGTAAAAGTTTACGTCTACGGAATGAAATAAGTCAGTTCTCTTATATGATTAAAGCTGTCTGTGAAGAATGATAGGTACGTACAACTCATGAGCCTTCTGACCGTGAAGCATTCGCTTTTGTAGCAAGATAGAAATACCAGAAAAAGTCTTGAAGGGTATGAAATCGCATTCACGATGAGACTGAATTACTATAGCTCCCGGTCATCGGCTGTTTCTTCATCGGATTGAACCAAACTGCTGCCTCTGCCGGTAAGTATACCCAGTTTCAATGCCGTGACAAAGTTTGCTCGTCGTCCTTTCCCACCAGGCTGTGGAACAAGCGGTCGAAAGGCTGTTGGGAGTATTGCCTAGACTCGACTCTAATGAACAGCTGTAGTTGTAACTAATACGATCAATGGCTGATGGTATGGAAGTAACCAGGCTTACACGCGGAGGTTGTAACAAATTTCAGCCCAAATAAGCAGACTTCATTGTTGTCTTCCATGTCACTCCGTCGTAACCTTTCAACGAGTTCAACGGAAGGAGGGACTTTGAAAGCGTATGGCAATATGGAAGACCAAATCTCGAAAAATATTACCTAGAACGAGCTTTTGGAGTGGCAAAAGCACAATAAATATACAATTTCTGGGTACCGTACCGAAGGGGTGCTTTTTTAAACTGGTCCGTCAAACCTCTCGGCGTTTGAGCATAGATCTCATTATGATTAGGGTGGCTGTATATAATCAGGTCAACGGCTCTCATCGACTCTATCGATCTACTACAGATATGCATAATGAAACAGGTGCGCTGTTGCACAGACCATATGTTGTCACAGCCAAATCTCTGTTGCTTCATTTACAGTGAACATACACAGTCATCCATGGGGAGGCATACTTATATGTTCTCTAATGATCTTCTAGGAGCTGTGCGGATCAAACAGCTAATAAGTCTATGAAACCACTTCATTGGGATTCCAATGGAATGGTTCATTCTCTCGGGCTCGTTCTACGTTCTCGGAGCTCTAATATAGTATGTGATCGCTCAATGGGTGTATATAGTTCGTCAAGAAACTTGTCAGTCTACTTATTCCAGCTCAAATCGCATCTGGAGCGATTTCCCCCCTGGGACCTTTGACTGTTTTCTCTCTTCGCAATAACATTTTCACGGTTGTGTTATAGTTGTCGCGTATTCGCGCTATGAGTTCATATCCATTGCTCTCAATCACTTCCATTCACAGACCCAATGCCGCATGCCACCCGATCTTTAATTGACCTCCCAAGGACATTCTTTGATAATTTATTAAGAATCACAATCGCTTACCTACATTCATTTTCTGTCGCACTTGTTGTACATTATGCCCTCGGTCAAATTAGAATACATAAAATAGCAGTGTTCATGAATAGTGAAAAGTTGCCAGTTCAATTTTCGAGCACCCAAACCGTTGGGTAGGAATCCAGAAGCTAACTTGTTAGCGTCAAGCTATCGCATTTGACAGATTCAACTAGATATCTGGGCAGATACAAAGATATCAATTAAGCATCTAAGGTCGTTCTAGTACCCGCACCACCCCAGGCAACAGTCTTCGTCGGAGCCTTCTTTTCTGCTGATTCGTTGATGGCCACTGACTCCGCGCCAAGTGCGACCGTTCCAGGTGCACCTTGTTTCTGTCCTACCTTTCCTTTAAATACAGGAAGAGGCGACCCCCGAATCTCGTCCAACACCCTTTGCGAGCGTTCGGTGTTTTTGATGAACCACCCAGCATAACGTCGCCCGACAGTGCTCTCGGCAATGTGAATTGTATTCTGTGAGTGAATATTTCAGACGATGGAGGTTTCATAATGAAAGCTGAAGAGACATACGTCGTCAATGACAAAATTCAGATCACTGGTAGATATCATTTCTCCCTCTAGTAGAGTTCCTATAACCGTCAGACCAGCTGGAGACGCGTCGTTTCCTTTCTCGGATCTGCCTTGCGCCTGATGGAATGATAGATATTGCGTTGAATGATGAATGCAGGAAACAATACGATGCAAACTCACGGGGACTATTCGACTGAGACTCCTGCTGTTTTGCTTGAGCACCATCATTTCCTGAATTGCTTCTTCCTCTGCTTCTTCGACAGCTTCTTGGTCTGATTCGCTGACTTTGACCAAATCCAAAAACGACGACAATTTTTCGGTGGTCAGAGAAGTGTATAAATGGAGGAACGAGCGCAATGTAGGTAAAGGTGACTGTGCGCCTGCTGAAGCAAGGAAAAGTCGAAGGTGTCGCTGTGTGGGGTCTGTTGGTATGGGGGATCCTGTTCATAAAAATTGACAGGATGATGTCAATGGAACCTGAAAGACGATAGAATCATGAAATAAAATTGACAAACCTTCTGCAGGTTCTGTGGGATCAGCGGACAGCAACAATGCAATGGCATCCGGGTCATCATATGGGGGCGAGTTAGCATTGATGAATTTTGGGCAGGCATACAGGAATAATTCTTCAAATGCTGCAAGCGCATCGCTTCCTCCTTTGCTCATCCTACCCATTTGGTCCCCATACCGCTCTTTTGCGGTACTTGTGATGTTATCATCCAACCTAGTAAACGGCGATCCGGGGAGGACCAACGAATGGCACATCGCATACAACGCCAGAGTTCGGTCGGCAGTTTTGGCTATTTGATCGTATTGATCTTTTCGTTCATAACCAGAGTAATTACGCATGCGCTGCATACGTTGAAAGAAGTTGAGGACAGTTACAAATGTCCGAATGGCGTCTGGGTATCGGCGAAGCATCATATAGCAAAAGCCGACATAATAGTGAGTTGAGATGTGGGTTGCTGGAAGGGTGGGGAGGGCGGTAAACGAGGATTTATTGGCTTTGGCGCCGAAACCAGAGCCACCAAGTAAAAATTCCCCGACTTGGTCCATGACCTTGAGGGCAAGGGTAAAGTCACCGAGGAGGACGTGTACACGGAGAAGCCCGAGGACAGAGAAGTATCCAAGGGTACGATAGAGTGGCAGAGCCGTGTACGGAGAGATGGATTTCGCAACTTCCTCCGCCGATCTAGCACCTTCCTTTCCTTGTTCTTGTTCTTCCTTCAACGCAACGATGAACTCGTTAATTTTCGATTTTTGAATGAGCGAATAAAGAACATTGAGGACAGAGTATGAGGACCAGACA